CTATCCAACGTCGAGAAGACTACTTTGGCCTGGCAACTCTCCAGACTGTAACTGTATTGAGCATGCTGGTTCTACATGAAGAGAGAGACTACAAAGAAAGGAGCTCCACAGTCAAGAACGGAGGCAACTAGAATCTGGCTAAATTGCTGGAGAGATCTCCCCACAAGCTAAGATCCAAGCTTGGGATTGAGCGTATTCTTATACATATTCCAAAGATAATTGAGCTACAAGGTGGTAATGAGTATATAGAGGGGAGAGATAGGCGTTGTGTAGGAGAGCGGCCAGATTTCGGCTAAATTATTCTTGGCAGGACAAAACTTTTGTGAGGCACCTCCGTATATCAGATCACTAAATTATTCTAGTTAGCGATATACCTACTGCATTTCACGCTCTAAAAATTAGAAACGCCTTTAAGAAGGCCTTTACAATAAAGGGAGGAGTACAGTCCCTAGTAGTAGCCTTAGTAACCCCTTTAGCAAAAGGCAATAAAATAGTTACTACCACCCTAGCTTTTTTAGCAAAATACCTTCAAGAAAACCAAGAGATCTAGAAGGATATTACAGAGTTTAAAGCAGCCCAACCAATCACCCCTTAGTTCAAAGTAGTTATCTATAAACTACTAACAAACCATAGCCTAGAGGTCCTAAAGGAGGAAATTGAAATCTTCAATGAAGGCCTAAAGGTAGTAGGTAACCCCTTCTAGCTAACACTAGAATCTAGAAGAGGAAACTAAAACTTTGGATCCGCCTGCGTAGCTTTTGCTATAGAACAAGAAGCCTAAAGAGCTATTAGAGGAAAGCTCTATATTCTAGGGCAGAGCCTTAGAGCAGAGAAACTAAGAGTTATTAATAACTCTAAACAGTGCTCTAAATGCCAAGGTTTTGGGCACCTAGAGGCTAAATGCTCTAAAGTAGCCTGCCAAATCTGCAGCGAAGCCCACCACACTAGCCTCCACAAGTGTAATTCTTGTTTAAGCAAAGGCAAGCCTTGCGTTTACACTATCTTTAAGTGTGTAAATTGCAGCAAGCCCCACGCAGCTAACAGCCAAAACTGCGAAATCCTGCAAGCTAGGATGTCTAGGACTACTACCTCTTCTAACTAGAATGTTAAAAGTCCTACAAATAAATGTTAATAGAAGTAGCCCTGCTACAGAGAGCGCTCTGAATCTAGCTATTCAAGTAAACGCCAAGATTATCGCTATACAGGAACCCTGGCTACTAAAGGGACATACCTACGAGAATACTAGATCAATCGCCCACCAAGACTTTACTCAAATACTCCCTACTTATAAGGGGTTAAGGCTAAGAACGCTCTTCTATATTAGAAAAGACATAGATGTAGAGGTCAACCTATATATTAGCGACAACAACAATTTACAAGCTATTACAATACTCTCCTCTTTAACTAAGATCTATATATATAACATTTATAACAAAAATAGCCTAAAAGAAGGGCTTAATAAGATAACAATCTAAAGGCGTCTACTCGAAGAGACTCTAGAACCCTCCTCAATTATACTAGGGGACTTTAACACCCACCACCCTAGATAGAGCCTACAGGATAAAAACCTAAACCAAGAAGCAGAGGATCTAGTAGAGTGGGTAGGCAACCAAAACCTTTCTCTTCTAAATACTCTAGGGACTGGCACCTTTTTTGGAGTAAATATGCCGCAAGAAAGCGTACTAGATCTTACTTTTGCAACTAATAATATAGCTGCCAAAATCCAGGACTGGCAAACTATACCAAGAGTTGGATCAGACTACCACGCAATCCTTTTTAGTATTAAAAGCCTAGGCCAGCTACCTAGCTAGTTAAAGAGATTTAATATTAAAAAGACCAACTAGGACATCTTTAATAGTACACTTAATAAAGAAGTCAACAACCAACAGCTAGAGGCACAACTACTAGACCTACCTCACACCTCTAGCTATTTATCAAAAAAGATCCTATTAGGTCAGGATAACTCCCTAGTAGAGAAACTAGAGAAACTAGGAGAAGATATTACAACAGTAGTACAAACAGCTCTAAAAGAATCCACCCTACTAGTTAGCTAGAAACTAAAGCCAAAACCTTAGTGGACTAGTGAGCTAGATAACCTAAAGTCGGATCAAAACAGAGCTTTTCGAGTCCTAAAAAGAGAAGCTAGTAGAGAGGACAACAGCTAAATCAACTAGTGGAAAAAAGAGTATCTTATTGCAAAATACAGATATCTAAAAGATATTAAAAAAGCTGAGCTTAACCACTGGGAAACCTTCCTACAAAAGGAGACGCTAAAAGAGATATTTAAAGCTATGGCCTATACAAAAGACAACCTATCTATAAGGATACCTGCTATTAAAGGCAAGGAGACCTTTAGAGAAAAATGCCAAGCCTTTAGAGAAGATCTCTTCCCCCCACCACCATCTACTCTAGCCCCACTACTAAATACCTACAAAGGAGATAGCAGATGGGAGTGGCCAGCTTTAACAAAAGAAGAGCTCGAATTCGCCTGCGTAAGCGTAAAAGCTACCTCGCCAGGACTAGATTTAATCAGCTAGGATATAGTCTAAAAAGTCTATCAGGCACTGCTAGAATTACTCTTTAAGATATATTCAGCTCTATTTAACTTTGGCTACCAACCAAAGTGCTAGAGAAAAGCTAAAGGAGTTATTCTAAAGAAACCTGGAAAGCCAGACTACTCTATCCCAAAGGCATATAGAGTTATCTCACTCTTAAGCTGCCTAGGGAAAGTACTAGAAAGACTATTTGCAAGACGATTAGGAGCACTAGCAGAAACACAGACTTACTCCACCTACCAGTAGCGGGAGATT